TACAAGACTTATAAGGTTCCAAAGATGTTCCCAGTTGCATAAGAAAACTTATCTAAGGCGACTGTTTCCCTGCATGATTGTAATTGGTCAATTATTTCGTTGAGGACCTTTGCCGGTAGGACTTTTATCTTTTTTGTGCATGCTGTGATCTACCACAGCCTATAATTATCATGTGGTCTGGAAGTATCCCCATATATTACTACCACATGACGAACAACTATCTATTATACAGTAAATGGACCCTACTCGGTCCTAGTCTAGCCTCCTTCGCAGTCTTGTTGGGCGTCGGCATTATTTTTTCTCTGAGCGATGCGAGTATGCTAGTCCTAGTCCAATTTCTATAATCTGTAGTAATCACATTATACAAGCATATTTCCATACAGGAAAAGTCTATACAAGTAACCCTGTCTCTGGACCATCCTTTTATAGAGTCTAGTGTTTTTACTACCCTAATTAAATCCCAATCTCAACAAATTAACACCCTTAAAAATAGAAAGTGTAAATCCAAGAAAAAATCCATCCCATCTAGTTGAGCCAAGGATAAAGGGAACAAAGACAACAGGATTGTGGCATGGCGTCTACAGTAATCTCTTTCACAAAACAGTTCCGATTCTTTTAATCTGGTTAGGCCACACTGCCTAAAAGTTTGTCTCCTGAAACAATTCCTTTCCTTCAGAGATAGTAATGTCATACATGAATGGCCAGGGAAGCCTGTGGGGCAAAATTCCCAATCTCCAGGCATCTTTCCATAGCCTAGACAGTACCCAATAGGCAAGGGACTTCGATGCAATAACCAGCCTATTGGGTATTGCCTTGGCTACTGAAAGGTTGACTAGAAGATTATGAAATTCTATGAACGTTAGCCTCCATAGCATGCCAAAAACTGGGGGTTTTGGGGATCTTCAGGAACTTTAATGTGCTATTTTCTGATTGCATATAGACAACATAGTCGGCCTGGTTGAATTACCCCCGTTTTTTTAGAACTGGGCTAATCAGAAAACAGCTGAAGACCACCAATTCCCCCGTTCTATATTTAAAGCCTGCTACGGAGGCTAGTATTATGTTAGTGTTCACACACAGTCCAACATACACAGTTTGTTTTTAATGTATGAATCTAACCAAACAATGCCTGTTCTGAAACCATCTCACTGTAGCCTCTTTTCATGGTGTACTTCTCATCGCAACAAATACGCTTTGTTTGGAGAGAGGGCCCTGTCATCACAAATATGTAGTATATCCCTACAGTTTAACACTATAGAGGACTAGCCCACTGTAACATATCCCCCTTCTGTGTCTGGGTACATTAAATCCCTTCACCCTCCTCCAACAAGTTACGCCGCAGCACACCAGTTACCCTAATCTACCAGATCCCCCTACCAGAAAATCTCACTATTCAAACATCACGCTTTTCAGAAAAAAACCCGGATGACACAAAGTAAAGTGGCTATTTGAGGGAACATTCCGATATGCTAGCTCACTGCTACTGTCTTCTTTCCATTGGTAAATATACCAGCATGTTTTGTTAGTGTAAGAGTGTGGGAGAAGAGCTTTTTTGTACCTTATACTGATATGAGGGTGTTTGCTACTGGTAGCGGTATCATACAATGGGACAGGGATAGATTGTCTCTTGACTTTGAAGGTTGGAACTTTTTCAGAGTGATGTAACGTTAGATGAGAAAAAGGGAAACAGAATAAAAGTCAGCAAAAATTAATCAGGATGATTTGGAAATTATGTATAGCAAAGAAGCAAAGAATTTTGAAGTTCACAAACTCCTTGAGTGTAGTGATACAAAAACAAGTGTATCTTTTGACAAGAACAAGTACAAATGTAATAATATCAACAAGTTAGTGACTTTTCAGGAAACATTTATTGATGATTCAAAAAAACTCTACTTAACAAGGAAATCCAGCATTCCAGGCCCATAACTTTCCCCAGTTGTCACCCGATGCTTAAAAAAGTTCCTTTATGCAAATGCTTCATTTGTACCAAGCATACATGTACAAGGTATTTTTTTTTACACATAATTGAAGTACAAATCTTGATTGACACAGATGCCAACACTTATCAATGAGTTTTGAGGGTATCTCTACAACATTGGGGAAAAGACAAAGGCCTTTTAACATAATGGCTTTTCCGAATATACATCATATTCATAACGAAAGTGCAGCCCTACACTGTTAGTCTGTTACGACCGTGAAAAAAATGAGACAGACACAGACGAATAGGATACATCCCTGTACTTGTCCACTGGTCGTTCGTGCAGACACTTTCTTGGAACTGGAGCGACGGTGTAAGGACTCCCCGGAGACTTCTCCACATCAAAAAGACTAGTGACTTCTGGACAGAGAAAGAGAAAAAAAAGGAACCACACCATTTACCCCCTGACCTAATTCTATTAACACACGGAAGCTCTTCATTATGTACCACTTCCGAACGGCTCAGCAAAAACACATCCATATGAAAAGAAAGGAAGGAAATAGTTCAGCGGATTTTATTCTTTCCGTATGACAATAGACACTATTTACAAGCAGCAAACAAAATGGCTTCTTTAGTCACACAGACTTGAGTAGAAAAGCCTGACTAGTCCATTTGCTTTATTATGCATGAAGGCTTTACAAATAATTATGTCAGTTGCCGTCATCAATTCTTCCTGGCTTTCAACAGGATATGGGAGACAATGGGTGAAAAATGTTTCAGGGCATTCTTTAATGCATATCGTTTTTTCCCCTTTGTGTGAGTTCTGAAGTGATATTATCTTCCTGTTTTGATGTCTACCATGTAGTAATAATTGCCTAAGGACATATACATGTATATGTCAAACCATGTTCAACTTATGTAAGTACTGTCGGAAGTTATGTAAGTACTTTCAGACACCATTCTGTTTGCATAGTTTAAAAAAGCTACATTGCTTGACCTTGTGTACTAGTATGAATCTTCTCCTCCCCCCAAAAATTGTATTTATACATTTAAACTAAAAAAGATTTGGCAGATGTCTACATTAACGATACAGTGATCTAGACAGGATTTTTCCATAGCATAGGAGTCGAAATATTTTGAAACTCATAACCCCGAGACACTATTTCTTGTTTAATGAGGAACAGATTTTGTGAAGTCAGATTTTCCATTTCCTATACCCCGGTAGGTTCATTCTAAAGTTATTTTTTTTTTTTTGCAAAATTTCTGAAGGTTCTCTCTCCCAAAATACCCCTATGCTGGTTGAAGACAGCATAGGACTCGAGGTCAAAATCATAGCATAGGGGGCCCCTATGGTCTGGCTAGAACACTGCGATTATGGTTAAATGTAATATCAAGTTTTCAAAACAAGCTGTCAGTCATTTGTGAGATTGTTTCTTGGTTTTCTCTTGAATAAGATCCTCACCTGAAGTACTGAATACAGGTGTGTTCTACAAGATCCCCTCCATCTCCCTCATGAACTTCTCATAAGCCTCGTCCGTGTTCTTCCCAGACCCCGGTCCTGTCGGCGGTCTGGGGACGGTGATCGCCGTCGCTCGCTTGACTGGTACTGTTGGCGTCTTTGGCTTCTTTCCTTTGTTATCACGTTTAATGCGTACCGACACGGGCACGAGCTTCGTGACGTCTGCTGTCGGGTTTCGAATCTGCGGCTTGGCCGTGATGGTCGCTGTCGGCTTCTTCTCGATCGTGGCAGAGTCCTCTTTGTTCATTGGTCGGCTGATGAGGCTGGGAGGGGCGCTAAGCACGCTGGGATTGCTGGGGGGTAGGACGCCAGGAGGAGGGGGCATGCCAGGGGGAGCGCCGGGAGGGGGCATCCGGGGCAGCATGCCTCGTGGAGGAGGTACACCAGGGGGACCGGGAGGGAGTAATCTGGGAGGGGGTCCTCGAAGGAGGGGTGG